AGGCTGAACTTAGAGGCTTTTATACTTACGACGAGTTAGTTAGATTTGAATAATAGTTTAGCTGTAGTATGTATCATCTGCTTGAATGAAAATGTACTTTTGTCTTCATTTGATTAATAAACTAACGATCTAGCCTGGCTACAGGTATACAAAAAAAAAAAAAAGAACCAGGTAAATAAAATTTGAAAAAACATTTGAAATCAAATATGCAAGGTAACCTTCAACAAACTTGCAATCAAAAAATCATATCTTCATAAAGAAAAGTACTATAAACATAGCCCAAAATTTGTTAAGTTCAGTTAAAAATGGTTCTCTATAAAAATGTTTTTAATAAATGTAATATAATAATTAATTAATATACAGTATTTATATTTTTTTAATGCAAAAATTTTTCGTTTTATTAAATTATTTTTTATTAAAAATTTTATAAATACAACAATTTGATAAATGAAGTTATATCAAACCAACTGAATATGCTATAAAGAGAATGAAAAAATGCAAAGACGATACTATAAGTATGCGAATAATTTACTCATCCAGCAATGTCAACTTAATTTTTGGGCCGCTTGGATGTTGCACGTTGAACTTTCTCACCCAACCTTCGCTAACCTCCTCGTCATCTTTCTCAAAATTTTTCATTGAAGTTTTTGTGTATCCACCCAAGATAAAATCACTTTCGTATTTCGCTCTATAAATCATTACCTCTTTTAAAGCACTTTTCCGATCTGCGGAATCATTGGTGATCATATTCGAAGTACTAGAGTTGCATTCAGTACCGCAACATTCGATTAGATTCCACAATAATCTTGTAGAAGCATGTTCTGGAACATCATAAAAAATTAATTTCTTTAGACTCTTGAATTGTGAAAAATAGAATAATAATAAACTCGCATCTTGCGGTTCGGATAAGGGAGAATATATAATGGTGTCAAAACTTATGGAAAGCATTTCAAGCTTCTCGCATCTTATCATGATCAACTCCAACAGGTTGTGAGTCAAAAATGGTACACCCTTCATATTGTGCATCCGCAGTTCTTTTAATGAATTTTTGTTTGCCATCAATAAATTTTCCAATGCACCACTACCAATTAATTGGCTGCAATTACTCAAATTAACCATCTCCAGGTGTTTGCAATGATTCGCCAAGGCATTGATACCGGCGTCACTGATTTTTTGCATCGAGGAAAAATTAAGATTTCTCAATTTCTGCTTTCCAAATTTTGCCAAGGCATAAATCGAAACGTCGGTGACTCTCGATCGGGAATTTGATATATCGATGGTATTTAATTCTTGGCAGTAATATGAGATCTGTGAGATTGAGCTGTCTGATACGCCGGAACAATTATTCAAATTGATCGTAAGTAATTCGGGAAATTTTTGTATAAACGATTTAAGTATGCTTTCTGTAATATTTTTGGAATTTTCAAGATCCAAGTGTTGAAGGTAATTATGGTTTCGTTTAAAATTAATAATCATTTTACGGATTGCCGACGTGGTTAAGAAGGAAGTGTCTCGGATTATGAGTGAACGTAAATGGGGGCAATTTTGTAAAATCATAGTTAGCCAATTATCATCAATAGTCTCGTATAACGACTCTTGAACTTGACTAACGTCCATGACCTTAATTAAAGACTTGGTCTCGCCTCCTGCATTCTCCAGTGTCTTGAGAAACTGTCGGAACGACTGTATTGAAGTTGAACTACCAGTACCAAACTTCGGTTGGCGCCAAAGTTCTGACTTTGCAAGTTGATTCCAGGTTTTGTTGACAAGAGAACAAGTCCATAGATCTTTTTGACTTAGAAAACGTAGGACTCGCCCTAGAGCAACGTCGTACTGTCCTTTCTCAAAGGACATTGTGCAAGAAGTTTGATGGGAATTAGCCGCCTGTCAAATTCGTATATTTAGAGATTGGATTTCCATATTTGGTTATAACACTATGGTGATGAAAATAACATGACGCATAAATAATTTTATTGTAAAAATATTAATCAATTTCTACAACCTATTTTCCTGTTTATGTTACAAAATAAGTTAGTTATGTACATTCCTTCCGAGACCTTATCATTTTCATTTTTAAGAATCACTTCACCAAACCAACTCTTTAGTTCCCGTTCCGCAGCCTTTATCATCCTGCAAAGCCGCCGAACCGCAACCTGACCCTCCAGTGTCAGAAATTGCTACTCTGAATAAATTAACACCATATTTATTATACATCTCCGTCACACCACCCGCGGCGATCAACTTTTCTTCCATCTCTGATAATTCAAATTTAAATTCCTTGCCACCGCAAATGACCTTGCGACCTTTAACGTCAATCTTCACTTCGGCTCCTTCTTGTGCAAGCGTGTAGAATTCTTCATCTCCCACAGTTACGCCAAGGAGTGCCATATTCGGCTATGAGAGAGTAAAAGTTATATCATTATAATAATAATCTATGAAATTACTTTCACCAGAAGAATGTTACCTACCTGGTTACGACCATAAATATACGCGTAACTCTTGGCGATCACTGCTTTCACTCCGGCACCTTTCAGGGCTCGGGGTGCCTCCTCTCTTGACGAACCGGATCCGAACCCTTTGCCTCCAACAACTATGTCATACCCTTGCTTCACCTTTTCAACGAAATCCGGCTTCACGTATTGGAACGCATGACTACCCAGATCTTCGTCGCTCGTACCAGGCATGAATTGAGCAGGGATTATTGCATCAGTGTCCACATTGTCTTCGAAACGTTGCACTTTTCCGGTGATCGGTGCAGAGAATGAGGAAGGCGGTGGTGGAAGATCGAAACTTTGAGATGATGGATTGTCGGAATCAAGGATGATGGGGTTTGGCTCTGAAATGACGAATGGTGCACCTTGATCCATCCATTGTTCAAGGTATTCTTGGTATTTTTCGGGATCAATGCAATCAAGCAATTCTCTTGGATCGTGAATCTTCATCTCAAAGGATGAGGCGGCAACTGTGGCAGCAGATGCCAGATTTCCGATAGCACCTTTACCCTACACAAGATATAATAAACATAATGTCAGCGCGAGTGTTCAACATAAAGAAAATGTTCAGGTACCATTAGTATACATGCCATTCGGTTTCTAAAGTTTCTATTTTGACTACTAAGCCAAACTTCTCCTTCGCCGGCATGGTCAGCCGCAACAGCAATACAGTAAGAACAACCAGGCGCTCCGATTTCAAATCCAGCCTGCTCATAAAATTTCAACAGACCGAGTCGACGTAATTTTGCAATAATCGGCAAGCTACCGGGGGTAACTCGTCTTGTGCCGCCAATGGAAGGTACATATCCTTTCTTAAGACCTTGCTCTAGAACCAAAGCAGCAAGAATCAAATCCTCCTCTGCCGTTGTGCAAGCACCAATAAACACACCATCTAATTTTTTTCCTTCGACTTCCTTGACGGGAACAACATCATCAGGTGATGGATACAACGCGACCAAGGAGTCAACCTCGGAAAGATCAATTATATGGGTCTCCGCATAGACCGCGTCAGGATCAGCACGGAAGTAAAGTGCCGAATTCTTGTAAGAAGGATTCTTCCGTTTGGCAATAAATGCGGCCGTAATCTCATCACCTTCAAATACACCCGCGATACCACCGAACTCAGTGGCCATATTTGAAATGGCGAAACGAGCATCACAAGAAAGGTACTTCAATCCAGGCCCAGTATATTCCACGGCACGTTCAAAGGCAACAGTGTTTCGTTTAAGTTTTCCGAGTACATATAGAATTGTGTCTTTTCCACCGATACCAAAAGGTGGTTTACCAACAAACCTAATCTCCACGGTCTCCGGTACCTTAAACCATGTCTCCCCGGTCACCATGGGCATGACAACGTCGGCAGCACCAAGTCCTACGGCAAATGCACTCACAGCACCCGCAGAACACGAATGTGAATCAGCGCCGATGATCATTTGACCAGGTTGTGCACGTGTTCTGTAGAATTCGGTGTGTAGAATTGTATGATTGGGACGATAGAAATCAACTAGCTTAGCTTCCTTTGCAAACTCTTCCGAGGAGCGAATCAGTTCGGCGGGCTTAGGAAGGTGGTTGATCCTAGGATCAACGGTATGATCAATGGCGAGCCAAAATCGATCGTTACGATGAATGTTTGGTCGACCCATAACATCAAAAGTCTTTTCCATGCCTTTCCAGGTAAGTTCAGATGCCAAAGTCCAATCGACAGATACGCAGACCATCTCACCAGGCTTCACGTGGCCAGGGGACGGAAGACCAATGGCGGCATGAGCTATCGTTTTTTCACACAAAGTCATACCACGTCGACCAGGGGGCCTTTTCAATAATAAACCACGTGAAGGTCTCATATTAGAAATACGATCTTCGGAGTTAAGACCTTCCAAATATCCCTCAAGAACTTCCACAATTTTATCGCCAATTTGAGAGGTGGTATGTGTACCAGCCAGATCTTTGGTGCGACAACCGAAACCACCTAGTTCCTCTTCATCCAACACTTTTCGCACGGCATCCTCGACTGCTTTTGCTTCACGGTGCAAATTCAGCGAATATCTGAGTAGCATAGCTACACTCAAGATAGTTGCAACGGGGTTCACTACCCCCTGACCGGCAATATCAGGTGCCGAACCATGAATGGGCTCATACAATCCAAGGCATTTATTTTTTCCATCAGGCAAACCACTGAGACTGGCAGATGGCAAGAGACCAAGACTACCAGGAATGACACTCGCCTCGTCGCTTAAGATATCGCCAAATAAATTCTCAGTAAGAATGATACCATTAAGCAATTTTGGACTTTTCACCAAGAACATGGCAGCAGCGTCAATATAATGATGTTTAAGAGGAATGGTGGGAAACTCTTTTTCGATAGTTTCAGTGACGACTCGACGCCAGAGCCGGGATGTGGCAAGAACATTGGCCTTATCGAGTGAATGTATTGTGGCCGGCGGATTTTTTTCGAGTGCCAGATGTGCAGCCAAACGAGTTATTCTTTTGACCTCTTCAACAGAATACGGCAGGGTGTCAAATGCTATTAAATACGTTTAAATTTAATTAGAAGTGAATGAGCATAGAACGGCAGTAATGACGGAATAAACGTATATCAGTTACCTTGACCATTTTCATCTTCCTCTTTTCTATCACCAAAATAAATTCCCCCCACTAGCTCACGAACTATTGTAAACTCCGTGCCTTTGACCACATCTTCCTTCAACGGGGAATAGGCAATCAACGAATCGCTCGCAAATGAACAGGGACGGAGATTCGCGTATAAATCAAGAGCCTTACGAATTTCCAATAGCCCTTGTTCAGGACGGGGACCTACACCTTTCGATGGGTCGTTGGGATCGATAGGGCGAGGCCATGCGGGCCCGCCAACTGCCCCAAGTAAGATTGCGTCGGATTCTTTTGCAGTTTTCAAAGTTTCTTCGGGCAATGGGGAACCTGCAAAAAGTATCATCAGTAAGTATCAAATAAATTTTATATATTCAAGTAAAATTTTCTCTAGACGAACCTGTATCGTCAATGGCTGCGCCTCCGATTTTCCCTTCTATAAGTTCAATTTCCACCCCGTTGTACTTTGTTCTCAAGTTAGAAATAGCTTTGAGAATTTTTACACCTTCAGAAACCACCTCCGGTCCAGCATTATCGCCAGGAAGAACGAGAACCTTTACTTTGCGCTGAGTCGTCATAATTTTACCGCCATAAAAAAAAAAAAGGAGACTGAAAAAAGATGTGATAATCAACTTCAACACCTAAATCTCCGTAACCGACGTTTTAAGGTTGCACAAAAAAAAATTTGTAATTCAATCAATAAAACGTAATCCTCAACTCCGAATTCGGTTCGTGCCCTTTAATCATAATATAATTAACAATTTCGCCTACCTCTCGATAAACACTTTTTTTCCTACAATTTGAACTTTATGCATTATTGTTTTATAATGTCAGAGAATAGAGCCTTTGACAATTTTTCTGATCCAAAGACTCTCGTCACATCGAAGAAACAAAATGCTCTCGACATTTATTGTCCACAGTCGTCTTGCAAATGTCTCATTCTGAGAGCAAACATTGGAACCTTGGTCGAAAGACCAAAAGAAAAGGTAAAATTTACATTCATGATTTTAGGGTTTTAAAGATTTGGTAAATATTTTTGAAATTTAACATTCCAATAGCTAACATTACCCAAAGGACAGAACAAGACTCAGCCTTCTGAAATTTCCGAGACTTCCAATAAAAATGAAAAAAAGGTTACCGAGGGGAATAACAAAGAGGGTAACTCATCTCAGCTTCAAGGATTTTGGCAGCTAACCGATCTGATGGCTTTTGAAAATATCGGATTTTCGAAAACAATCATAGAAACAGGAGTAAAATACATATGCTGCGCAGATTGCAATACAGGCCCTTTAGGTTATCATGACACTGTAGCGAAAGAGGTAGAATACTTGATTGCAGTTGATAAAGTTAGTTACGCTGTTATTCAAGAAACTGGAATTGAGGCTTAAATCCTTTGAATCCACTCGATTTTTTGCGACTAGGGTAATTTTTCGTTTTAATGGTTAAACTAGTTAATTTATACTAGCGTTTATTCACCAATATAATTAAGAACATTTGCACATCGCGTTGTACTTCGAAGCATAGAATTTTGTATCAAGATATCTCACAAGAATGATAATATACTATTTAATTTGACAAACGAATGATATGATTTAGGTAATTGTTCTAATATTAAAGTTGCCGTTAAAAGAACAACCTTTATTTGATGCACCAACAGGTTGCACAAACTTAAAAATCATCCGCCAATTAGTATGCACATCCTTTTTTTATCATTTTATCTACAGTATAAAACTCGATTTTACTCCATGCCATGGTAATCAATTCTTTGACTCGCTTCATAGTTCTTGATCACTATGAATTCAATGTTCGAACACATATTTTTGACCGGATTGCTTCGTAGTTTTTGATCACTATGAATTCAGCGATCGACCACTTATTCTTAACCAGATTGAGATCTAGAGAATTACGATGAGTACTTCGTCATTATCATCTAAAACGAGATTTCATTTCACCATTCATAAGTGACAAGATGCGAGGCAGACGGCATAATTCATGCCCATTTGCGCAATTCAAACCATAATCGACTTGCGACCGTTTTTTTTTTCCGGTCGCTTTTGATCATAAGGCTCACCCTTGCGACGCCAAATACGAATCTTTCCATAAGAGTTAATATCAATGAGGGATTAGTCGGTTCACAAGCATGCACTTGGTCCTCCTTAGTACAATTTTTGGCCCAGTTCAAGCTCTTGATTCAACCTTCCTCTCCAATAAAAAATTTCTATCCGGAAATAGGGTTGAAGGTCCGCTTATTTGCTGATCTTCGGTTTTCGTAATATACATGATTTCCACGGCGTAGCATTCAAGTTCTAAAATTTTTTTGTTATTTAAATTAGTATTTGTGAGTTTCACTTGTATTCACATCCATCATACGTAGATCAATTTTAAAGTTTATTTCAAATTCACCTAGATAATTGATTGACATGAAATCTTTATGTCTAATAATAACCTTGATATTTTGGTGAGTTTTTTTTTTTAACTCGCAATCATGTTATCATGTTATTGTAATATTGAAAGAATACCTACAATATTATCTAGACTATTATATGGTAGTTAATTTATTATGTTACTTAAAAAATATGAAAAATCTATTAAGCTAATTTTAAATTAAATCTAAATAAAATATTTTAAGACAGATTTATGAAACAATATCTTGCTCTTTTGATAATCTAAAAAATTGCCAATAGTTTGCTACTATAGATTATTAAATTAATATATTGAAGAAGAAAAATAAAATAAAATGATTCAAACTTCTTCAAAAGATTTTTATTTAAATTAAAAATTTTCTCTCAAAAGAAATTTATCTGATTAATATATTTTTAACTTTAAATTGTTTAAAAAATTTAATTATTCTTAAATAATAAGACTTTTCAAGAATATTTAAAAAACTTATCTTTTAACTAATATATAATTTATTTATCATATTTTGTATCAACATTATATTAAAAAAATTATTTGATTAAAATAAAAAAGATTGTTAAAAATTTTATCTAATTAAAATAAAAGCTAAAGAATTTTAACTTTTTTTTTAAAAAAAATTTATAATTAGAAATATTTAATAAAAAAATAATAATTAATATTGTTATATAATAATTATTTGTTTTTGATATTATAATTATTTTTTTTTAAAACTTACTTAATTGTTATAATTTTTATTTACTATAAAATAATAATTCTTTTTTTTTTATATATAATAGATTTATAAAAAAAAACCCACATTTTCTGTTAAACCTCTGATCATATATAAAAAAGATGTTTATAAAAAGTTTTTATACTTCCTTGTTAATAAAGTTTTAACACTTTCCTTAAAACAACTTGAAGTATAACTTCAAGAGTTACTTTTATTCTTCCTTTATTATTTACAAATCTCTTTACTCAAAACTTGACTTTTAGTAATTAAGAAAAGTCAAGTAACATCTTAAATACCAATGGCAAGAAAGTTTTCAAAGAAAAAAGAATTGACTATAAAATATCTAAAAACCTTTTTAATCTTTGAAGTATGAGATTTATAGAGATTTTATATAGTAAAAAGACATATTTTCTTTTTTTTTTTTGACTATTATGATTCTCTTAGAGCTTTCATTTTTATGGTTTTTGAAAGAATTTTGTCTATCTCAATTTGATCCTAAATTTTGGATAATACAAATCCTTACCAAAGATAATTAAATAATATGAAACATATTAGTTTTTGGAATATAAACAAGCTCCTATTGATTATATTCATATATCTCAATATATTATTGATAATGTAGAAAAGAAAGTTTTAGAAAAAGTGTCTTTTTCAATCATATATGTTCAACTTCTAGAAAACATTTATAATACTGAAAGATGAATGACAAGTAAGAAAAGAAAATTCAACTCTCATCTTTCATTAAGTTTCTCAAGTAGTGAAAAGACTTTTTTGAATAAAAGCTGAGGTTTCCAAGCTTCTATCCTGATTAAACAAAGTTCATGAAAATATTTTTTTATTCCAATTAAGCAAACTCTTCCATAATATAATATTGGCTTCAGTAATATTAAACGAATCTATATATTGGTAAAAGAATAAGTTTCTCAAATATTCTTTCTGAAATCATTTTCAGAAATGGTTAAGTTTCTCAAATATCATAAAGCTTAAAAAATATTCCAATTAGGCAAACACTTTTCAAGAGAAAACTATGAAATGATGCAAGAACCTTTTGAAGAACTTTGAATTGTATTTCTCTTTCTTCTTATTTCTAGCATCAACTTTAGTAATTTATTGTTTTTCAAGATAATCAATAGTGACAAATTGTTGACAATGATCCTGATTAACTTAAAGATTCTATGTCAAATTACTAGGAGACTATAATATTATCTCCTAAATTTGACTTAGAGTACCTAATTTAGACTTAGTTTTATTTAGTCCAAACTAGCTTAGTAAACTTTTCATATTTTTTAAGTAATATAGTCCTTTAACTAATAATATATAATAATAAGTTAATCACTTTGTGAAAGTTTGTAAACATTGTAATATATTTTAATATTTTAATAAAGATATATTATTGTGATATAATTATGGATTAAAAAATAATAATAATAATAATTTTTTTATATATATTATATACTATATAACCAAGCTAAATTATTTTTTTATTAATTATATTATAACTAAAAACTCTTTCCACTAATTCTCTAATCATACACAAAAAGAACATTTGAGGAACTTATTCTTCTTTC